AGAGAGAGACCCTCTGCCTTCGCTGTGATGTTCAGACTGCACTGATCTCAAACTGACATCAAAAACTCCTCTTAACAAGAGCTAAACCCACAAACATCATGAGAAGCCACCCGCCCTTGCATGAGTAGAACCCAGAACACACAACAAAACGTGCCACTGCCAGTTCTTGAACACACAAGGGCGCCAGCTGGCTAGACTTTCACAATGAGTGAAGGGATGAATGGGTTCTGTGGGAATTCAGAAGGACCATACACAGGAAACACACTGTAGTCATCGTTTCTAGACTTCCTTGTTCATTACAAAAATAATGATGTCAAACAGTGCTTGTCTAAATACTGGACTCATTTTTGGGGCCCTGTCTAAGAAAGGCCCCATTGGCAGAAACCCAAGCTCACATTTTTTCCAGCACTCTAGTCAGTTAATTTACATTTTATTATTTTTTAAAAAGTTGATTAGAAAAAAAAAAAGTTGACACGGGGTTAGAATCCAGAGACGTCAGCACTGCTGATGTGCACAGGCCGGACCATCCTGACCGAAATGGCACTCTGTACAGAGCAGTCTTAGATTCCATTTTTTGCTTCATTATTGTTTGTGGCTTGTTTCCTTTGCGCGATGAAGGGGTACATACACTTGTCAGCTCCTAGAAATCGGTACATGCACACGACTGCTTCGAAAGGAAGGATGCTGCAAAGGAAAGGCACAGTGAGCAAATGGTGGGCCGTGGTCCCCTCGGCTGGGGCGGCGGGACGGGACGGGGGGGGGGGGGGGNAAGCTGCTCAGAGCCAGACGCCTGCTGATGACAGTAATTCCCTCGGGGGGGGGGGGGGGGGGGGGGGGGGGGGGGGGGGGAGAACAGTTACCTCTTCATGAAGGTCACGATGTACATGAGGCGCGGGGTGCAGATCATGGGCTGGTCGGTGAGGATGGCCCGCATGGCCTGCTTCACACAGTAGTCGGGCTTCAGCGGGGGCAGAAAGGGCTCGATCTCTTTTCTGGAATTTATATTCAAAAGTGAAATTCACAATTAACACGACATGGAAGACTGAAAACAATACATCAAAATACTGCGATGTTAACTGAGGAACACGATTTTCAGAACATTTTGTTTTCTTCATGGTATTTTTGTTTGCCTCACATTTTCTACTATAAACACACTTCATTTATTCATCTAGTGAATAAATTCGGAGAAAAGTAAGCAGAAGGAGTTGGCTTTTTGGTAAAATGAGATGAGGTTACTGAGATGCCTTGTAAGCTGTCTGTATCTCAATCCTTCTGATGCTGTTCTCTGAATAGAGAAGGGAGTTGCTTGTCATGAGCATTAGACTAACAAGTGGTGCAGCTTTCTGCATTGGTGCGGCTAAAGCGGCGTGAGCAGCAGGCAGCCTTTCCTGGCCTCACTGCTATAGCCTAGGAGCCTCCGAGGTGAAGGAAGCACACCGCAGGCTTGTGGGCACAGCACAGCTCTATGCAAAGGATAAGAGGCAGACCTAGGATTCAATTTCTTGCCTCTCATTTTCCTTTTCAAGCTTGGAACCAAAACCGGGCCTTGAACATGTTAAGCACATGCTCCAACACTGAGCCCCATCTCAGGCCCTAGAGCTAACTTCTCAGTCCAGACTTCATGCCAGCTGGAGCCTGAAAAGCCCAGACCACTCTCCATCACTTGTCCGGCTCAGTAAGTCTACAGAAAAGTCCCCAGCAAACAGGGGGACTTGACCATTGTCCTTTCACCCTTCAAAGATCTCCGTGTTAGCAAGCATCCCTGCTGATTCACAGGTGTGTTCACTCTGTTGGGAGCCTTGGCAGGTAAAACCCAATGTTTAGGAGTTCATATTCCCACATGCCCCTTCCCAAGTGTGAGGGAATCCATTTAACTGTAACTGTAAATAATTTCATCTTATTGGGCTGAGTCTAGCTGTATATACTTGTTAGGGGGAAAATGCTTTCATGTCTGTAGACTCGGTCTGTAGTGTGACACTCACTAGGTCTGTAGTGTGACACTCACTAGGTCTGTAGTGTGACACTCGCTAGGTCTGTAGTGTGACACTCACTAGGTCTGTAGTGTGACACTCACTAGGTCTGTAGTGTGACACTCGCTAGGTCTGTAGTGTGACACTCGCTAGGTCTGTAGTGTGACACTC